ACTTATTTATTTTTGTATTTAAATAATTGAATTCTAATTACAGGATTCCTACAGAAATCCGAATTTAAAATTCCATTACCTTATCCATGATTTCCAGGTCAAATTTTTACGAAATTCCAGTGGAATTTTAAATCTAATTTCATTATTTTTGGGCTCTTTAAAAACACTTTACTTATTTAATAGTCTCCACCCTTTGGTAAAAATTCTAAAATTATAAAAATTTATCAAAAATTCGAAAAACCGATTTTTTTAAAATTCAACAGTTTTTCTTCTCTTTGATAGTATTTAGCTTTATTATTTTTGTGCTCTTGGAAAATACTTTACTTATTTAATAGTCTCGACTTTTTGGTAAAAAATCTAAAATTTATCGAAAATTATCAAAAATTCAAAAATCCGAATTTCTTAAAATTCAACATTTTTTCCTCTCTTTTATGGGATTTAGCTTCATTATTTTTGTGCTCTTGGAAAATACTTTACTTATTTAATATTCTCGACTCTTTGGTAAAAAATCTAAAATTTATCGAAAATTATCAAAAATTCAAAAATCCGAATTTCTTAAAATTCAACATTTTTTCTTCTCTTTTATGCCATTTAGCTTTATTATTATTTGGATTTCTATTCAAGAGAAAAAATAGAAAACAGAAAAATTTAGAATACTTTTAAAAATTCCAGGCCTTTTCCATGATTTCCCTGATTTCCAGAAGCCTTTTAAAAATTCCGTACCATTTCCATGATTTCCAGATTCTGTAGGAACCCTGTTAATCTAGTATAATTATTTAATAAGAATTAATTTAAAAGTAGATTTTAGTTAAAATTTTAGATTATAATTGAATATTAAATCATTAGATCGTAGATTTTTAGAAATAATTGAATTTTGAAAAGGTTTCAAATTAAAATCTTTGAATATCTTAATTTTTTATATTTTTAACTGACAATTCTGTGGAATTAATTTTTATGGGAAAGTTTAATTGCGAATTTTTTAAAAAATTATTTTAAGTTTTTATTTTCTAATATATATTAATTAAAAAATTTACGAATGATTGAAATTTTATAAAATTGAATTGTAAAAAATGAATTTGAAAATTCACAAAGCACTTTTCAAAAGTTATTAAAAATAATTTATTTAAAGAAGAATTTTAGTTATAATAAAACGGAAAAAAAATTTAATGTTGGAAAAGTTACAAATTATTGCAGATATTCAATTATTTTCAAAAGTAATAATGTTCTTCACAAAAATCAAATATTGTTCAAAAATAATAAAATTCTTCTTAGGGATTTAATTATTTTCACAAATAATAAAACTTATCGGAGAATTCCAGTTATTTTTAATACAATTTTAATCGAATTTTTTCGAAAAATGTAATCATTCTTAAAGTTTAATTGAAATTCGTCGAAAGAATTCAATTATTTAAAAATTTATTGATATACTTCTTTATGAAAATTCAATTTTAAGAAATATTCAATTATTCAATAAATTGTTTTGTTTGTATTCAAATAATTGAATTCTAGTAGAATTTTCTAATAAAAATTGAATTTAAAAATGAATTTCAGTTAAAATTTTAGATAATAATTGAATATTAAAAACAATATAATAGCGTGAATTTTTAGAAATAATTGAATTTTGAAATTAATTTTTTTAAAAAGTTTAATTGAATTTTTTTTTATTACTTAAAGTTTTTATTTTCCAATATATATTTAATTGGAGAATTTATGAATAATTGAAATTTCGTAAAATTGAATATTGTAAAGAAATGGATTTGAAAATTGTCAAAGAACTTTTTCGAAATTTATTAAAAATAATCAGTTTAAAGAAGAATTTTAGTTAAAAACACGAAAAAAAATTTAATTTTGGAATTTAAATACTCCCATCATTGGTTCGAGTCCTGATATAGTTTGTAGCAAAAAAGTTAGGATGTTAAGTATTTGATTAAAATATAATTTGGTTAAATGCAAATTTGATTGAATTGAAACCTACTGTATGGACTAAAAATCATGCGGTAGTAAATTAGTAGAAAATTGGTAGTAAGCTGTTGGTAAAATGGTGGTAAACTGGTAGTGAATTTACAATAAATTTGTTAGTAAACTGACAGTAAATTGTCAGTAAGTTGGTAGTAAAATTGCTATTAGTGAATTTAGTAAATTATTCTACATTAAATTCTATTAGATTTCCATAAAAGATATACACTTGTCGATAATTACGACTATTTATCATATAATTCCTCTTGTTTTCGTATAATTAAACAATAAAAGTACCTTTTATAACATATAATAATTTATCTCTGAAGTCGCATTTCGATAGGAGGTCGACTCGAAACACTTGTTACCGCGAGGACGATTTGTTACAACCGAGAATACTGGGATAGCACAATACGACCACTTGTTTACAAGGACAATATTTTCATTCCGCAAACAATTCGAGGCTCGATAAAGACCCCCAGTTCAGGTGGGTACTATGGATCTAACTTTAATGCACTAGTCGCGGTCTCTGGAAATACATACCAAATAAGTAGCTATGCATATTTATTGGTATTTGAGTTTGCTTTTTCATCTTGACTCTTTATGCCCCACTCTCACTCTCTAAACTTTTTTTCTCGATACTTTCATTTATACCATTATTATATGAGATGATGAATTTATTTACTCGACATTTTCGCACCCTTTCGTTTAATCTTTTAGTATTTTTACATATACTTGAAAAATCGGATCAAATACTCGTTTGTATATAAGAGAAATGCAACAAACAGAAGAAAATTAAATAAGCGAAAATTTACACCTTATTTATACAACAAGTGCATATCCGCAATGTTAGTTTTTTGAAGGAAAGGAAAATTTTTCTTTTTCCTCATATACAAAATTCCCTATTTGCTTAGGATTTGAAAGAAAAATTTAAACATTTTTCTACATATTCTCGTTTTTAAAGATAATATATACAATTTCCTCAAGGAAAAGTCTGCATCATATAATAAGAGATTTAATTAAGTTTGTCCTGGAGAAAAAAAAATTTTGATAAGAAATATTTTCTGCTTTTATATTATGTTTGTGTGTCTAAATAAATGACGTATCTGTGCATAATTTCATTCTAAGTGCAGTAGAGATGGTATGTAGATAAATATTTCCTCGTCGACGTCTTCGTCTTCGTCGTCGTCGTCGTTGTAGTTGTTGTTCCCATTAGTCATCAGACAAATTTTTAAAGAATTTGTATTTAAGGACATAGTGAAGGAATCTATTGAAATAGATAAACTTTGCTATATAGTGATGACGCTCAAGAAAGATAGCAAAAAGCGATTCTCTCGACAGACGTTGAAAAAAGAGAATATTAAGAAACCCCGAGTTTCTTATGAAGATTTGGGGCGCCAACTTTTTGTGCATCACTTTCTATTATAGTTGCGCTTGCAACGAATGTACAATGCACACCTACAAAGCAAAGAAAAGGATAATCCTGGGGTGTATAATAAACCTTTTAAGTGTTTATCGCAAAAGCCGCAAAAAGTAAATAACCTTTAGTACCTGTTTTTAGATTTGAAGATGTAGATTTTTAGGTGGTGTTTGTTTTCGTCTTGTCTGCAATTGAATCGACAAAATTTTTCAAACTATTTTAATGACATTAACAGATTATTGTCTTGTTGGCAAATAAAAGCGTAATTACATTAAATTTATACACGGGATTTTTTGTTTGAATAAAGATAAATGGAATATGTAGTATGATGATGAAAATGATTATAATATCAAATATTTTTTTATTTCTGAATGAATAAATGATGTTCGTGTTCGTTTTGGCAGAAAGATTTTGAAGTCGTACTTTTATTTGCACGGAGAAAAATATAAAGTAACTTTTACTACTTTTATAGTAAAAAATTTCCGGTAAAGCATTTCCGTTAATTTTTTCTACTTTTGGAGTAAATTTTGTTACGTTCGAAGTAAATTTTACTAATTTTTAGAAATATGTACTTCAAACATAGCAAAATTTACTCCAAAAGTAGTAAAAATTACCAGAAATGATCTACCGGAAATTTTTTACTATAAAAGTAGTAAAAGTTACTTTATATTTTTCTCCGTGTGTAGATCAATGAACATGTTTTAGTTATGAGGAAAACTAGAGAAAAATTTTCTCAACAACAAACAGATTTCGGTTTGTATTTGTTTAATGAATGTTTGTTTTGAACAATGCAAAATTAAATGTCTCAATAGAGTTTCAATTATTAGTAACTATAGTTGCTAATCCACATTTTTAATGCAAAACTGCAATTTTTTCGATCATCTTTAAATGAAACATCTTTAAAACAGTGAAATTGTTGTTTAAATTTTAGTTGAAGGAGCAAAACTATATTATGAAAATTTTATTGTAGCATACATTTTATTTATTTTATTGTGTCAAAGAAAATTATTGTATGACTAAAAATTTTTTGTTTTCTACAACTATTTTTTTTTGTCAAACATTTTTCCTTATATGCAGTTCAACTATAAAATTTAACAGCAATTTTTTAACACTTATTTTGTTTGGTATCAATTTGATACATTCAAGAAAACTCTGAACTAAATAACATACAGAAAAACTTGTTTAAATTATAGTTGAGGGATTAAGAGTATATTGTTGAGGCAAAATTTTATTGTAGCAAACAAACAGAAACGAATTGAGTGATAGCAAATCTGAATGTTTTGTTTGGCTAATTAATTGTTTCGCGATAACAGGAGAAAAATATTTGGCCAACAACAAAACTCGTGCAACCAGTTTTTCCTTATCGAAAACTATAAATTTTTGATTATATTTTGAAAATTGCATCTGTAATCTTTAGTGTAGAAATTAAATGTTTGATTTTTGAAGCAAAATTTGATTGTTGCAAATAGAAATTTTGCTGAATTGGAAATTACAGAATTATCCTTTTTTCTCTCAGCGATTCATTTATTCGCGTTATGATCTATAAAATCGAAAGAACAATATACTTTAAATTACTGAAAACCAGTGTAATTTTACTTATTAATTCCGAGTATAATTACCTTTCATTGTGACACATGTTTATTTCCAAGAGGCTCCCGTTTTTTTTTCATACTTTTTTCACAAGAATTTTTCGCAAAAACCTCTTTAAAAATAATTGCAACGTTTTTTCTATATGCGACCGTTTGTGAAAGAGAGGGTATTTAGGGAAATATTAGTAAAAAAAGAAAGATAAAAATTTCACAAGGATGCGTTTCGCGATGTGTCAAATGAGTGGCAGTTGACATGACACGCGACGCCTTGGTATATCGTTTCGTCGTCGTCGCGATCGTCGTGACGTCGGATATCACCAGGTAAAAGGCATTGCAAACTGCGCAAGTAGCTTCATGTTTTTTTTTCTGTACGATGCGCCTGCGTTTAGAGAAATCCGTTAAGCGTCACATGTAACACATGTCCCAGGGATGGGGCCACCTACATCCGAAACGTTTATCGTGTGAACACGCCCATTTTGTTACGTCACTGGTGCTCGTAAGGGAAGTTTTCCCACAGCTGAAACATGAATTTGTGACACGATTGGCTGGAAGGGAACGTGAAGGAGGAGCTTAGAACCTCGATAGCGTAGTCATTATAGAGGGGGATGTTTGAACAAGACTCGGCAGCTCAAGAGTACCGGAGTACACTCGCTAACCGGCCTCCATCCACACTACATTACACAGAGAGAGGAGAAAGAGTGAGAGAGAGAAAAAGAGAAAGAAGGAGAGAGTGAGTGTGAGAGGGTGCGCCCGCTCAAACAGACCTGCAAATAACCGCGATTCCAAACGTGTGTCGTTACATAGAGCGTCGTGTTGTGTTGGAACAACAATTACCCCTATCGGTACGTCATTGAGTGTCGTGTGTCGCGGACATTGTTCGCTAAGGACTGCGGTTGGTTTATTCGTAGGCGGATCGGTCGCGATTGTTTGTTGTTTTACTTTTGGCAATCTAACCAACTGTCCATTTCAGTTAACTTGTGACAATTGCAAATAGATTGTGTTGAAGAATCTCATAGTGACGTATAACTAAACAGTGATAACAGTGTGAAACAAGTGATTGAGAAATTAAACTTAGTGTGACTTTGTCTTTAAAACATTATTATGCAACGGATCAGTGTTTATCGTCAGTGACTGTGGGGTTCAGTGTGTTGACGAACTATTTTGTCGTCATTATATCGCCACGCTGGCTATTTACATGATTCCAGTTTGACAACAACAGGATTTCCCACCCCCAATTAGCTCTATGACAATGCTTCAGTCGCAGAAGCTGTACAGCGATGCTGGCAGCCTTGGCGGTGCCATGACGAGCGCTGCCATGTCAAACATGGGCAGCATGGCGCCGTCGTACAGCTCCATTAATTCAATGAGTTGTGTGCCCATGATGCCAATGGAGAGGATGTCAATGGGTGTTGGACCCAATTGCAGTCCTCAAAGTCCCGGGGCCTTTAACATTAGTAGCATGAGCTCTGCAATCGGAATGGCGTCAATGGGAAGTGGAGGAATGAGTTACAGTGGTTCGGTGATGGGTGGTGGTGGTGCTTGCATGAATTCCGGCGGCTATGCATCCCTTGCATCAACAGCTGGCTCTCGAATCACCGATTCGGGAATTTCACTTACCGAACCAGATTCACCGAATTCAGCATTACAACGAGCCAGAACTGACAAATCATACAGGAGAAGTTACACCCACGCGAAACCACCGTACTCCTACATCAGCCTCATCACCATGGCCATACAGAATGCACCCACAAAGATGCTCACACTTTCCGAGATCTATCAATTCATAATGGACCTGTTTCCATTCTACAGACAAAATCAACAACGCTGGCAAAATTCCATCAGGCATTCGCTCAGTTTCAACGATTGTTTTGTCAAAGTACCAAGAACACCCGACAAGCCCGGCAAGGGCTCCTTCTGGACTCTGCATCCAGAAAGTGGGAACATGTTCGAAAATGGCTGCTACCTGAGACGTCAGAAGAGGTTCAAGGACGAGAAGAAAGAACTCACCAGGCAAACCACAAAGCACACACATCAAGGTCATCATAGTTCGGGCGCTGGTTCCGGTCACGGAAGTCCTCCGTCCCATGAACTCAGTCATGGCAAGAAAACACCATCGTCCCTACATCACGGTCAGCCGCAAGATGAGAAAGATCTCCATTCACTCGTGAATCATCACCATCATCACCATGCCGGCGGTATTCATCCGCATCACACGAATCTCAAGAGTGATACATCGGACATTGGCGGTCTATTGGGCACCGATCTCGGTGCAGCGCACGATGAATTAGCCGCAATGGTTGGAAGAAGTCTTCATCCACATCTTCTCAGCGATCCCAATGGTCTTCATCACAGTATGGCGGGAACACTGAAACAAGAGCCAACATTCCCGGCTGCAAATCATCCCTTCAGTATCACGAGGCTACTTCCAGGCGCAGCTGGTACATCGCCAGGTGCCCAGGATACAAAACCACCAGAAATAAAAATGTACGAGCAATTACATCAAAGTTACTCGAATTATGGTTCACCACATCATCCACATCCACATTCGATACCACCTGGACATCATCATCACAATGGATTACACAGCTCAAATCCTGGACCAATGCACAATATGGCCAATCATCATCAGGATTATTATCACAGTCAATTGTATCATCATAGTAGTGTTAGTGCATCAAGTGCACCGCCGCCTCCTTCTGTGACGGCCACGCCGGGCTTGTGACATCACGCCACACATCCTTACGCTCTGGCCTGAGTCGCTGCCGCGGCCTACGCCGCTTCCAACACCGTCCCAAATTGTTCTGATTACATTTCACGTCGTCGGGCTGATAACGATAATGGTGCTTCATGTTGGAACGACGTTGAAGAAGAGGAGGACGACGAGGATGAAGATGACACTCTGTAGGAACGTTTTTAATTTTTTCATTATATAATTTTCATTAACGAGGTGATTCGATGTCTGTAGGTTATACTTTTAGGTCCACTTTTATCTCTATTTCAATTCTATACAAAATTTTTTAAATATTATATTCATTTTTGGTAATTTATTCAGCAATGTTTTCTTCATGGTCCACAAGTTTTGAGCGTTCAAATGAAAGAAATATTTTTTATCAAAAATATTTTCATCAATTACTGATTACAGTGAAATTTGAAAACTTCAATTTTACATTTAGAAACTTCACAAATAAATTTTTTTCCCAGTGTCTTTGATGCTCTAAGTCACTTGTTGTTAATTTTTGTTTACTTTTTATGATTACTTTTTAATTAAATTCTTCCATGTTCTTTTATGACTTGATTATCATAGTTTTTCTACAGATATCAAATTGAGAGGAAAAACGAATCAAAAGTGTTGCGAAGCAACATTTTGATTCGTTTTTCCTCTCAATTTGATTTCTGCAGAATAACTGTATTACTTCATTAGTAACTTGTTTGCAACTTTTAAGTTGGTTTATAATTTTTTATTTGCTATTTTCATTAATTTTCAACAACTTTGGGACATTTATTTGTCACTCTTAATCTGATTAGTAGTTTTCTTTACTAATTAAAGAATGCGAATTGGTTCACCGATTAAACAGCAAAGATTTTATTAATTTTTAGTAAAAAAAAAACTACTAAGTTGATAGTAGAAAACTACTAATATAGAAAAAAAAATTTTTTTAATTTAAATAAAGTAAATATAGAAAAAATCTATGATTATTAAAGGAGTGAAACTTTATTCTATCAGTTAATATTTTTCTACTATTAAATTAGTAGTTTTTTTACTGTCAATTCGTAGTTTTCAAACTTAAAAGTAGTTTTCTACTAAAATTTAGTAGATTTCTACTAAGAAATAGTAGAAGATTGATTGGTTCACCGATTAAACATCAAAGATTTTATTAATTTTTAGTAAAAAACTACTAATTTGATAGTCAAAAACTACTAATTGGTAGTAAATTATAGTTAATATAGAAAAATAATAAATTAGTTGTTTTCTACTAATTAGAGGCAACGGATTTTGTTTATTAATTAAATAGCAAAGATTTTTGCTGCTTTTTAGTACAAAACTACTAATTTAATAGAGGAAAATTACTAAATTCGTATAGTAAATTAGTAAATGTATAAAAAAATCTATAATTATTAAAAGAGTCAAACTACTTTTTCAGTTAATATTTTTCTACTATTCAATTAGTAGTTTTTTTTACTATTAATTTGTTGTTTTCGAACTAAAAAATAGTTTTCTGCTAAAGTGCAGTAATTTTCTATAAAAATTTAGTAGTTTTCTACTAAAATTAGTAATTTTCAACTAAAATTAGTAGTTTTCTACGAAAATGAGTAGTTTGCTACTAAAATGCAGTAGTTTTCTACTGAAAATCAGTAAAATTTTATCAATTTAAATGGTAAACGAATTCGCATTCTTTAATTTAGTAGAAAACTATTAATTCAGATTTAGAGATCACTTTAAATCACTTATTTTGAACTTAAATAAATTTATTGGCACTTTTTGACTTATTTGTCGCTTTTTTCACTTAAATCACACTTATTATATACAGTTATTTTTACAATCCCTGTTTGTAAATTTATAGAAACTTTCATTTCTAATATTCAGAAAATATATTCTTACAACGAGTGACTTATTAGCAGTGAAAATGTTTAAAAAGTTCAAAAAGTTGAAAAGAAAATGAAAATTAAAGTTTATGGAAACAATTGATGAACAAATTTACAATTTAATTGGTCCTTGAAGTTGACGTCGATGCTAAGCGTCGGAAAACATCTTTTTTTTATACAAAAACCAAATTAAACAATTTTTTCAGAGATTTCAAGTTAAAAAGTGTTCTGAAAAATTTTTTTAAGTCCCCAGGTGAATAAAAAAAGTGAATTTAGTGAAATTTTCGTTGCTAAAAACTAAATAATTGCTATCGACGCCAAGCGTCGACGCTAACATTCAGATAATTTAATTGAAATCTTCCAATTTGAATTTTGAATATAATTAAAAATTTGAAAATTTGTTTTCTCATTGACCACGAAAATGCCACACGTTATTGAATTTTTTAATCTATTGTCTTTTTTCGTTAAACGAATTTATTTATTTGAATATATTTATGTGAAAAATGAAGGAAAGTAAATACTTGAATCGTGATAGTTGCTGGTTTTTGACGAAATTTGTTTTTTGTTAGAATTCCTACGATATAGTTGATTATAAAAAAGTAGTTTAAAAAACAAATATTTTAATTTTTTTTTAACTTTTATTTTGTTTGATTTCGAAAATCGTTTATTATAGTTTTTTTTGCTTTTTCTCTTTTAAAGTAGCGACGCCCTTCTAAATGGCTTTAAAACTTTTAGTTATTTTTAAATTTTATTTTCAAAACTATATCTATAGGATTTTTAACTGATGTATAAAAAAAAAGTTTCGTTCGTTTTTGAATATTTAAAATTATTTAATGACAAGGAAATATAAAAAAAGACTAATTTTTTTATGCAATGAAAAAAATTTTCTTGCAATTATTGAGGGTTCAGTATATATTGTCCCTGAAGTTTAGCGTCGCAAACTTCGAAAACTATTCTTTGGAGTTTTTGTGATTTTTTGACTAAACTAAGAGGTTAATTTTCATTCACCGAGGGAATTAAAAAAAAGTTCAGAACACAATTTTGTTTCTCTCTTTTTTTTTTTTTGCTAAAAACTTTTGCTGAAAAAATCGTTTGCGACGCTCAACGTCGACGCTAACTTTACACGGACCTTAAATAACAGAATTAATAGTTTATTGTTAAATATTGTGAAAACATTTCAAAAATTATTTTTCCAAATCAAAAACTGATTTTTTTTTATTGCCGGAAATGAAAATGAAAATGCCAATTTATCCTCGAACTTGACTTCGTAATACGCTCAGACTTTGCAAGATCGAGACGATAGAGAGCGATATCGGTGTTTGATTTTTAGATTAGCACTAGCAAACACATTCTCTAGCGTGGACTTTTGTTTGATCATAATGATTGTTGTAAGAGTAATTTTTTTTTTTTTCTTTTTTGTGGTCATTGATCTCTCGAGTGTCCTCAAGTTATCGTCGCTTGATTTATAAACCTTAAACAAAACATGTGTATATTGTCAAACAGTATATTTCCGCATTTTATTTACAATACGAAAAAATATATATAATATGTAAATCTTTATAAAACGATCCTTCATTTTTTGTCTATAAAAAAAATGTCACTGTTTGTAATAGTGTTAAAAAAAATTGTTTAAATTCTTCTCTCCGAATTAAAAAATATTTTATTCGTTAGTCAATTTTCGTCAGTTAAAATTATTTTAATTCAAAATTGTGTGTGTTAACTGGACAAAAATTGTGTACTGAAAAAATTATTTAAGAAATGATTTTAAAAAATAATTTTACAAAATGATTTGAAAAATGATTTTAAAAAATGATTTAAAAAATGAGATTTAAAAATGGTTTAAAAAATGATTTAAAAAATGATTAAAAAATGATTTAAAAAAAATTATTGAAATAAATTATTATTGAAAAGAAATGATCTTTTTTGAAAAGTCATCGACAATTATATACAGTATTGAGTCTCTCGTAAAAAAAAGTTTATTATTTGAAAACTAGAAGCGTTAAATTAACGTAATCGCGAGTGTGTGGTGCAAATTGAACGATACGACGATGGTGTTGGTTGAGAAGAGCGAAAATTGTGATAATTCGTGAAATGAAAATTAAGTTAACAAAATGAACGCATTTGCACATATATCTATATGTAATGAGTTGTAGTTTAGGTCCCATATTATTCACAAAATATTAACGAAAAAAAATGCAAAAAAAAAATTCACCGTTTTTACAAATTATAATAATTCTACACAATTTAGACCAAAAAAAAATTTTTGTATTTTAAAAAATAATTATCATATTTTATAAAATTATTTTACAATTTATATGAGAAGGGGAAATGTTTCAAAATTTACAATATTTGAAAAGAAAAAAATGCATTTGAAGAAATTGAATTTATTTGAATCCATAAATCAAATTAAAAAGATTGTATATCAAATAAATATTTATTTGACAACAGTGTTTATTAAAATTATCAATATTTATTAATAATGTTTATTAATAATATTTATTTTTAACATTTATTGATAATTATTAATAATCTACTAATAATTATTTTAATAATTTTTTAATTAAATATTTTTTTTGGTAAATATTTATTTTTCGCAAATATTAATTTAAATAATAATACTTGAAGGAAACATTTCCAGAATAATTTTTTAGTCAAGAGTTTAAAATTTTTCGAAAATTAAATTTTTTCCCTTTAGTATAATTTGTAAAGTTTTTTTTCTACAATTTGCTAATTTCTTTTCGGTGTAATTAAAAAAAGAAAAATTCAAAAATGGGACTAAATTAAAAATAAAAATAGATTAAATGTTTTTTTTTCTTTTTTTTAAAAAATGAGAGAGGCAATAGTCAAATTGAATCGTTATTTTGAAGGCTTGTACATATAATAATATAAGTTATTTGACGGATTTTATTTTCAAGGTACAAAAAGAAACCTGCGATAAGAAAAATTCACAGACGTTATATTATATATTATATTGAATGAAAAATGTATATATTGACTCTCGCGAGATATATATTACAAAGAAAATAAAAAAAAAAAAATATATTAATATTCGTCTGCAATGATGTAAATTATATTTTTCGTTTTTCTTATTGTATTATTTTTTAAGAGAAAAGTAGCACCGAAAAAAGAACGTTTTTTTTGTCATTTTTTGGTGCTTTTGTACAATATCTGTAGATAGTCGCACGGACATTATTGCGTATAATGCACAGTAATATACATGTTATAAAAAAAAATATAAATATTATAAATAAATATATAGATATATATGTAAATGGAATCTTTGACGATATTATATATATATAGATATATATTATTGAGCTAGAGAAACGACGTAAAGAAATACTTTTTATTGCATATTTCAAAGGCTATGGAAAATTAGTTTCAAATTTTTATTCCTCATAATCGGGGTGCGTTTATATATATACTATAGAAAATATATTTAAAAATACCGAACTCGTTTTATCAAAAAGATAAAACTCATCCTAAACGGTTTCAACTTTGATAAGGTATTTTAGACGCAATTTATTGACGAAAATAATTCTGATAGAAATTTTTAAAAATATATGTATATTATACATATATATTATAATAATATCGAAATTTTATTTTCAAAAAAAGAATGAAAAATTTTTTAACCTTTGAAGTATGCCCAAAAATCGATAATGCATCTGTAAATATCAGACATTTAAAAAAAAATTTACAAAACAAAAAAAAACAATACACACATGTAGAATATTAAGAAAAAAAAATTTTTTTTTCTTTATTGACACTTATTAATTGTACATTATTAGTAACACACATTTATCTATAAGATTTATTTCGCAATAAATTTTCAGTTTATCTGCAGCAATAAAAGAGAGAAAAAAAAATTTAAAAAAATAAAAAATTACTGTGAAAATTTCTGTGAAATTATATTGAGAGTGCGCGCGAGAAAAAAAATGTATATTTTTTTGGATAAAAAAAAATCTCAAAAAACACTTCATGACTTTTTCATCGTTGTTGAATCTTTGTTTTCTCTTATATTATAAAATATATATTTTTTTCTTTGTAGTTTCTAACATTGCATATACATATAAATATAAATATTAAACGAGAATCGAGATTTGATTTTAAAAGAAAATACCTTTTTGTCCATCATGAAAATGAAACGAAAAATAAAGAAAAAAAATAATAAAAAAAAAAAAACGATG